GAGCCCCAAAATGAGTCTCACTAAAATGAAAGCATGAAAATTTTGTGGAAAATCTGGGTCTATTCATGAACTCTGTATTTCTTGTTTTCTTCTATGTGTCCTAGATTGATTTTGGAAGTCCTTTATCTAATACACCAACTGAAATATTTTTCCTACTTACACCCTGTCTGTGATAATACATGTCTCTCTTAAAATAAGATTTGAAAAGAGATGAGCTGCAACTCAGCTTAATTCTGTGATCATTAAAGTGATCTACTAATGTGTGAAACACTGAAAATTTTACAGAATTCATAAATCTAACCCTTTATATGTTATGTATGTTATTAATAGCTTTTTAATACATTGTCCATGATATTTTCATGAAGCATTATCTGATGCTACATGGTGCAATTTCTTAACTATCTTTCCCTTTTTTCAAGAGATTCAAACTTAAGAGTGATGTGTCACTTGTCATTTAATTTTTTGTACATAGTGTGTGTTAGTGCAGACTGTAGAAACCAAACCTATCTGGAATAAAAACTGCAATTATTTTTCCCCACGCCTATGTCTTCTCTCAATTTTTTTGGTTTGTCATCATCTTTAAACATAGAGAATCAATAAATTAATAATCAAGAGTTATTTGCCTCCTTAATCTTATTAAGAGAATAATTTTGTGTTGTATTTAAATTTTAGGCTAATGTACCACCAACAAAGTCAGTATGCTTGTGGCTTGGAGCTAATGTAATGTTGGAGTATAGTCTTGAAGATGCTGAAAAATTACTGACTACAAATATGGAAACAGCTCAAGAAAATTTAAATCAAGTAGAACATGATTTGGATTTCTTAAGGTTTACAAAATGTTTTTTAAAAATTAATAATCATATAACATTCACAGGAAGATCAATTTACACCATTCAGCTCACTGGATATATTTGATCGTTATTTTTATGGAATTATCTATGTACATGACATATGTATAATATAATGTGCTTACATGAGATCACAACCCCATAATTTGGTTTTAAGTGGACTGTATGTAGTATTTATAAAATAGGAAATTATATGAAGGATACAAAGAGACCATACCACTTACTTGCTCACTAGTTATGTCCTTAGTCGCAAAGGGCATGAGTCTCAGTGGGTGGCCATCTTTTTTCATTACCCTAGAATTCTCATAGATGGAAATAATTGTGTTATAACAGTGTGGTTGGCATACATTAACAGTTTTTATGCAGTTAAAAATACTTTTGCTTCTTCTTTTCTTTGTATTTTTATACTGTCACACATATATATGTATATATATATAGTTTTAAATTACAAATATAGGTATTGTAACCTTTTTGCAATACAATGCGTAAGTATTCCAATATAATACTCTCCTGAACACATCTATCGGCCCACTTAGTGTTTTAAGTTTTGACGGTTCCTAGCTAAAAATAAATGTTCGGTGGAACAATAACTTTATATGCAGTTTTGAAGCTGATTTATTGGTCAACCTATTGGTATGTCTTTTTTTAAATTCGAATTCAGAATATTGAAAAAAGCGTGATAGCATATAAGATGGTATAAGTCAAGTATGCACCTTTGTAAAGGGCAAAAGTAATAGTCCGGATTTTTAAAGAAATCAAATGTTTTACCACAATTAAATGTTTAATTAATAAGAAGCATTGCCTCCAAAGGCACCTACGACAGCTTTCATGCGATTAGGCATAGAATTAATCAGTCTCACTTTGAAATTCTGAGGTATCATCTCCTATTCATCTTCTATGGCAGTTTTCAGCTCCTGCATCGTTTGTGGAACTGGCTGGCGAGCCCGAACACGCCCCTTTAACTCGTCCCATAGGTGTTTAATGGGGCGCAGGTCTGGGCTTCTTGCTGGCTAGTCCATTACTGCAATATCTACGTCTCGATATTTCTGGACGATTCCAGCAGTATGCGGTCTCGCATTATCGTGCATCAATGTGAAATTTGGGCCGACACATACAGCAAATGGCATCACATTCTAAGCACTGGCGTATGTACCTGTGACCATCTAATGATGGAAGTTGTAGTCCACTAATGATCTCAAGTTCGGTTTTCGCATTTGCCGAAATTCCTCCCCAAACTGTCCATGCCAAAAGCAACCCTCTCTTCTATCCATTGAGAAAACGTTTTGTCTTCGGTACACCTTATTCCTTCCATAATTCCCACATAAAGTAATTTTCGATTCGTCGATAAACAATACTTGGCTCCAGTGTTGCTGAGACCACTGCAAATGAGTTCGCGCAAACTAAAGGCGCGATGTTCGGTGAGCTCGCGTTAATTTGCGCCATTAACTTTCTTTTGTGGTACCATATTACGTTCTTTAAGTCTCCTTCGAACAGTTCGAGGGCACACAGATACTTCATGGAAGTTGCGTAGTTGATTTTGTATCTGAACTGAAGTCAAGTGACGGTTTCTCAAGCTGGTCGTAAAGATAAATCGGTCTTGCCTTTCAGTTGTCACACGAGTTTGCGGTCTTCCTTGACTACGAACGAAACCGCCAGTCTCTAAGTACCTTCTATAAGCTCGGACAATAGTACCGCTTAAATTCAGCATTAATTTTTAGTTAGGAACCGTTAAAATTTAAAACACTAGGTAGGCCGATACATGTGGGAGTATCACTACATAGTATAAAACAAAGTCGCTTTCTCTGTCCCTATATCACTATGTATGCTTAAATCTTTACGCAACGGATTCTGATGCGGTTTTTTTAAATAGATAGTGATTGAAGAGGAAGGTGTATATGTAACATCCATTAAATGGTGGAGAAATCAATAATAAAGTACAGTTTCCGAAGCGAAGCTTTTTTTTCCTACCTAAGCTGATAGCCTTGAGAGGCTATATCACAGTCGCTTTAACTAGTAGGTGAGCTCACGGGGCTCAAACTTGATGACGTTGCTAACACGAACCCTAGCAAGAGCCGTGTTTCGCAGAATCTACCACCGGATCGGAAACGCGACCCACTGAGAAGATCCGGCGAGAAACTCAGTGGGCTATGTCTGAGGGTTTGAGAAGCGAAGCGAGGGCGGGTCGCTAGTATAATATAATCTCGAAAAACAATATCTGTCTAATATAATTGATGTTATGTTTAAAATTAAAATTAATTCGGATTTGTTTACAGAGATCAGTGTACCACTACTGAAGTGAATATGGCTAGAGTTTACAACTGGGATGTGAAGAAACGCCAGGCAGCTTCTGGTCGCATTACCGCTTGTTAAGTTTAACAACAACTGAATGTGTTGACTGCTCCAGTATAATAGATTCATTATGAATACAAAACACATTTGCTAGTATGCAATGTCATGAGGAACTACTACATCAATGTCTAAATGAGTAACATATTTATAAAATTGATATTAACTAAACTAATGGATGTTTTCTTTTTATTAAATCATATTAATTTAAAATATGCATTTGGTTTCAAAACCCTAATGTAGTTCTATCATTTTGGCTTATAGAAGAAAAGATTACTACACTAAAAATGTGAATTTGAAGAAGTCAGCATAGTCCAGTCATTAAGTCCAATGCGACTGAGTGACTGAGACTCCAACCTAGTTTCTCAAGTTGAATTACCGCATTCACGTTATTGTTATTGAATATTTCAGGAGATGTCTCGCTATTCGTGCCGAACCTCTATATCCATTTATTGTTAATAGTCCCGGCACTGATCATAAATTACACACTCAAATTAGGCCAGAACACGGGAGGTCTTTATGATATGAAAGCGTTTGACCCAAACTATCGCTCAGAGATGATGACACGGCTATCGTGTATGTCTTCACTCACACAGTTTTAAATATCAACTTTTTCCAAAATTAGCATAACCTTTTCGGATTAAACAAATAATTTAAAAACGTGTAGTCGTCGTCACTGGATAAGAGTTTTCTTTTATGATTGAGGGATTCCTAGTGGCCTGGAAGCCTTTCCAATTTAACCAGGACATGTGGGCGAGCAAGGGCTGAACTAGGAGTGGTATTTGCTTACAACTACCCGAGCGCCTCTAAAGGAAGAAACTCAAGAATAGCTGCTTCGTGACTGAATCTACTACTGGATCGGAATCACGACCCACTGAGATCCGGCGAGAAACTCAGCGGACTGATATATATATATATAATTGCTTATATGGGTGGACGAGCTCACAGCGCACCTGATATTAAGTGATTACTGGAGCCCATAGAAATCTACGACGTAAATGCGCCACCAACCTTGAGATATAAGTTAAAGTCTCGTATAGTTACAACAGCTGCCCCACCCTTCAAACCGAAACGCATTACTGCTTCATGGCAGAAATAGGCGGGGCGGTGGTACCTACCCGTGCGGACTCACAAGAGGTCCTACCACCAGTAATTACGCAAATTATAATTTTGCGGGTTTGATTTTTATTACACGATGTTATTCTTTCATCGTGGAAGTCAATCGTGAACAATTGTTAAGTACGTATTTCATTAGAAAAATTGGTACCCCGCCTGCGGGATTCGAACATCGGTGCATCGCTACATACAAATGCACCGGACGTCTTATCCTTTAGGCCACGACGACTTCAAGAAGAAAGTGAAACTTAAGGTGATTCCCAGTGCAGTCTTTTAGATTGATTGAAACGGGCTTAAGATCCGAACCCAATAGTGATAGATAGACTCGAATCGAAGGATAAATACATTTGTAAGCCAGGTAGTTCCAACACACTGAGAGGACTCAGAGGAATCCTATCAGTTGTACTCTAATTCCTGCCCTTAATTGTTTGCTTGAATTCTGATAAATGACTACGTCTTTTAAATTTTATACTGTTGGGTGTCAGATTTTTTTTGTCTCTTTGCTATTAATACTTGTCAAGTAAATTTTTTGTTGTTTAAAGAATATGAATGATGTATCCGCGAGTTTTCTTTTTTCAGTCCTTCCAGTATACCTCAGCGCCCCACAAACTAAAACGGATCAAAAAAGCCAGTTACCAATGGCCGGAATTAAATGTAAAAACAGTCTGACCCTGAGCCTTTCTAGGTGCATTATCTATGGGCAATCCATTAAGTGTATATATAATCTATGGGCGATCTGCTGCCATTAATTGACTTTGACAATTTTCAGTAAATCTTATTTTATTATCCAGAAAAAATAAAATCCTCGGGTAAGTATGTAGTATACTTTTTAAAAAGTTCCTAATATAAATAGGAAACATATGTTCTGAAATTAAAGTATACTTTTTTTGTAGGTGACTCACGACGAGTGCAAGGCGACGCCCAGTTTCAGTCCTTTAGTTTTGCTTTGGTTTTCAACATAGGCCTCTCGGACACAGCCGTAATGGATATGATGGTATCAACGTTACAGCAGCAGCGGGCTGTAACTGAGCAGCTCCGCAGAGAAGCAGCAATAAAGAGAATCCCGGTATCTGTAGCAGTTTCAGATATCATCAAGTATATCAATGAACACGAGCAAGAAGATTGCCTTTTGGTTGGGTTTTCGAGTCAGAAAGTAAATCCATTCCGTGAAAAAAGTTCATGTACTGTCCTTTAAATGATCTTTACCTCTAATATATTTGGAGTCATCTGTAATGGAAACTTCTCTAGTTACTAATTTATTATTAACGTTTAGATTATTTCTGTTTCCATGATTAATATATCCGATTTCGCATTTTATTGTTAATTAAAATGTTCATGGATTGTGTTTTGATGTTTGTATTAAATTTTGATGTATTAAAAAATAAATAAAGAAATTATGCAATTCAGTGTTTATTTGTGCATCAAATAAAAAAACAATATTCTGTTATCAATTCCACAAATTAAATTTACAATTCCATTTCAATACAACTTGTTTTGTGTTAAACATTCTAACACATTGATTAGCCCATAGACATCACAACAGAATATTTCCACCTACTCTGAGACTCGTCAGTCTCAATTATTATTACACTGTCAGGTTGGCCCACCCTTATACCACAATACAAGATTGCTATAAAGTACAAATGGACACAGTCATGGCACATTTTAGACTACACTTCCACTAGTACTTCACAAATGTATACAGGGTAGCAGCAAAATATTTTAAAATATTGCTATCGTAAAAGTTAATTAAAATAAAATAAAGCAATAATCTAAATTAAACTATTTGCTGCACATTCCAGTTTTTCGTAGGAATAAATTTGCCACAGTCCACATTTTATAAAAAAAACTTAATCTATTTGGTGTTTCAAATTGTATTCAGATTATACACTTTACACATTTATAATAAATTTGAACCATATTTACTATAAACCACTATGCAGGATATTTTTATTGGGTAGGTATGTTAATCAATACTTTGCAAACAATTTAGTATTGTTGACATAGGTTTTAGTGTTTTTTTTTCACATTTTTAGTGCACACTCCTTTTACAATTTACAACTACATAGTATCATTGTTGTTTAGTTTTGAAATCAGAATAGAGGAATAAGAACATATACTAGCAGAATTCACTTATTAATTTCTGGTAAACAACCCTGCTCTAGCTCCTCAATTCTCATAAATTTGTACAGAAAACATGATTAATCTTAATATGAATACCTAATATTTTTCAATGATTTTTTTTTTTTTTTTTGTTCAGAAATATGTATGGTGCATGTTTATAATGAAACTGTTTGACTCTTACATTTTTTTAATAAAACAGAATTACTTAATTTTAACAAAATCGTATATTGTTTTTCCTATTGATATTTTATATGAAGGGCAAAGTGAAACTTGGGAATCTGAATAATAAGTAACCACTAAGATTACAAAATGGTATAGCAGTGGATAGAACAGAATTGCAGAGGAATTTATTCAATAATTGTAAATTTTGAGCAAATTTGGAATAAAATAATGCATCTTAATCTAAGGGTAAAACTATATAAAAAAAAAATTACCAACTATCAGTCTTTTAAATTGATGTTGATTATCAACCTTGTGGCAAATCGTCTCTCAAAAGTTTACAAAATAAAACATTGTGACATAATGATGCAGAAGGCCTTAAATTCTTAACACTATAATCTCTTTTCAAAACAAACTATATTACCAAATGTTTATCCAAATATGGATCTCTTTAAAAACTATACAACTTATGGTTAAAATACCAAATCATACCCATTTGGTTAAAAGTATGCAAAGGTCACTACCGAATTGAATTTTATAGTAGTGAATGAGAAAGTAAAGACAGAGAGCAAGAAATCATTTAAGTCTCATGCATATCTATGTACACATGCCTGCCTACTTAAGATTATCATCACTATCATATCAAACCATTATCCACATATTAATATTATTAGCTCATATTCATAAGATTAGCGTTTTAATACTACAATTTTTATTTATGTATCGTAATATAAACATTGTTTGATATTAATAATAATTGTACATTAATATCCCAATAGCTTTAATGCTGGAATAATATTATACTGTGTACAAATAACTTTATCAAACTTTAGATTAATAAGTTCCGTCTTGCCTGTGTGCAGACCTGTAAAAAAGTTTACATTGGTTAAAATTTCTAAGTATGGGAACACAATCACTTGTGCAAGTTCAAACTTGTGACTTAGGAGTTTATGATTAACATGGCATTGAATCACAGCTCTCATTTAGCACAGTTTTAATCGTCTATGAATTTATTTGGTTGTTTAGATACTGTATCAATTATTGAATGTGTAGGCAAGACGGTGTAGAGGAGGGATGAATCTACTATAAAATACATTTATTAAAAATGCTTATGCATTGGATGAACAGTACATCTTGATAACTCAAATTACAAGAGTATTGCTAAATTTTTTACTTAGACTTACTTAGAAACTTTCAGGATTTTCAACCCTGGTCAATTGATGGCTTAAAAACAACCATATTGTAGTGACATTGAAATTCTTTGTGTAGAATATGCATATACATTAATGTTTTTGTCATAACACTGTTTCACCAAGACAGTAATCATTCCTCTAAACAAAAAAACTCAGCTAATCTATTTACATCTACATCTTACAGCTATTTTGCAAGATAAATAGCTTCTTGGCAATATTTAAGCTTCAAGCTTTTTAACTGTGGATAAAGTGCTCGCTGTTAATCTCTATGTAGCTGTTACACATTGCTTTTCTTTATATATATATATATATATATTTTAAATAGAGTTAAAGTAGATTCCATTTTATACTAAAATTACTGCTGCTAGTTTACAGCCAAATAAATAACAACTGATAATAAACTTCAATAAGTTCAAACATTAACAATGCTATAAGTAGTCTATTTTATTACTTGGAAAGTTTGGTGCATATATATTAATTCACATACAAAGTACAAAACAATAAAACGGGAGGAGCAATCATTACTTTCAGATTTAATTGTTATGATTCTAGGCAAATCTAAGTAAACATTTTGTTGTTTTAAAGCTGAAATACTCTGGCATTTACAGAGATCATGCATGTCACCCCACATACAAGCCATATTATGAATTGTAATAATAATATTTGTAAACTTTTGAGATTCACCATCCCCAAAAAGTAAAATGAGGGTATACAATGAAAAAACTTCTTAATATTACCAGATGTTCAACTGGGTTGATTTAAACCCTCTCCTGCTTTGGGGAAGACACGTCTTCTGGACCATTGGAGACACTCTGATGGTATAATTTTAGCAATTCCATAGCATCTTGGGCTTGACGTTTTTCCAGAAGAATTCTAAAATTGAAATCAAAATTGTTTAGTAAGTCAGCTTTAGGTTTCCATGTAGCAACAAACTATATGTGAATTATACATGCCTTCCAGATGCTTCTTTAATATGTTCCAAAATTATTCTATTATCTCGATCAGTAACAATGTCAGCCAAGCTGTCAGGATCCATATCAGATAACAATTCTAGGTCTTGGCCTCCAAGCAACGAGATGTGACATAGGTTATGCTGCAGTCGACCAACAAGACTCGCCACTTGTTCTTTATCACCCAAAGCTATATCATCGGTCTGATCTAACGATACCTGACACTTAGGCATGTTCGGGACCCACTTTTCATTTCCGTGCAAAATCATGAGGGACGTGTCTGGGTCTAACGTAGAGAAGTATTCTTCATCATCAACTTCTGTACCATCTGATTCCAATACAACAGTTAAATTTTCAGAAGGCATTCCCAGCTTTTCCGGCACTTTTGTGAGTAAGTCTTCAAGCGACATAGCGACAATTCCTTTCTTCTTTTCGCGATTAACATCGCAAATTTTATATGGTTTGTTAATGTCGTTTTCCATGTTTTTTTGTTAATATACTGAACGTAAAAGAAGATTGTTTACTTATTTCGATTACAAAGTAAAAACAGATGATGAAATCCCGATTCCCAAGAAACACTGTTTGACAAGGGTTGAACTATTGTATTTTTCTTGTCTAAAGCTTTTCGGTAATTGCCAGCATACAAAAAAATCTAGAGTTGAATTTGCCACTTCTTTAATCACAGACGAAAAACGATTAGGTACTCGAAAATCAAAATCGCATACAACTAACGACTGTCTCCCACAGCTTCGCAAATGTAAGTCTGGCGCTTTCGTTCGTCGGCCAGACTCGGAACTTTCGCGAGATGCTACTTACTGCCGAGTAATGTCGAGGTTTCCCGACCGAATAACACTATATATGTAATGCATATTATAATTATGTAAAATGTTATGTTACAGACTAAGTTCTCGACTAAGGCCCGACTATATTCACTCTACATCTAGCTTCACTGTTTCTCAAGTAGATTAAAAGCTTTGACTATGCTTAATTTATGTTTAAGCGCTCTCGAGCTAAGGCTCTCTTGAGTAAGCTCAAGAAACGAACTTTAAAAAACTATATTTATATCAAGATAGTATTTCAATAATTTGATGCCTCCAGATTTTTTTTGTAAATAAATAATAATAGTAATAAAAACGAAATTAACTACGTTGGAACATACCTTAATGGTATCCTTAACCTTTTATTAACTTTTTGCTAATATATTCTAATTTGATGTTTCAATAATTTTAAGCCTTTAGAAATTTAAAATAATGAATACAGCTACTACACGAACTAGTTTTCAAATAATCTTTACACGTGTTGGTAAGTAATCGCAATATTACTTACCAGCATTAGAATAGGAATGAGAGAGAGGAAGAGAAGGTAATATAGTGGGATTCCCTTGGAGAGAGTAGATGCAACCCTGCATTGAAAATACAACGAGAAACTGGGACACTGTAACATAGTACAATTCATTCGAAATGAGTAGGTATTACCATTTTTCACTGTAGTAAATCTTGTGACTTGTATTGCGGCTGTTCATCCGCTTAGAGAAGATATGCCTTTCAATTTTACAAATTTATTAAATTACGAGATCAGTTGTAAGTATCTCGCGCGAAGGTTAATCTATCCCTCCCGACACTCACGGCGGAAGTTCGAGCGTGGAAGCTCCAATCTCGGCGTGCCGTGCTCGAGGCGTGGTCTCGCCGCCTGGCGGACCCGGCCTACGGGCAAGGGACCGCCGAGGAGATCTGCCCGGTCCTTACGGACTGGGTGAATCGCGACCGAGGACGTCTCACCTTCCGAGCGACGCAGGTGCTCACGGAAAACGGCTGTTTCGGCCGCTACCTGCACCTCGTCGCCCGGAGGGAGCCGACGCCGAAGTGCCACCACTGCAGTGGCTGCAACGAGGACACGGCGAAGCACACGCTAGCGTACTGTCCCACTTTCGCGACATTTCGCGCGCTTTCCCGCTGTCCGACCGTCGTGGCTACGATGCTCGGCAACGATGAGTCCTGGCAGGTATGCTTGACTTCTGCGAATCCATCATCTGGCAGAAGGAGGCGGCGGAACGGGAGAGGGAGAGCTCTTTTTCCCTCTCGACGCCCTGCCGCCGCCGCTGAGCCGCGGGTTGGAGGAGGGCGTTTGTCCAGCTCCGGCTCCTATGAGGAGACAGTCTCCTCCCGGTGATGGTCACGGGGCAACCTAAGGGGGTTGAGGCTGCGCTGCGCGCTGCCGTGACTTTAGCGCGCTGGCACCAAGAGGACAGGACGACGCGTCGGCGGCTGCGGACGGCGATGCGGTCCGCATTGTCGTCGTCGCTGTCGTCGCCGAACATACTGTGGAAGAGCAACCCGGTCGGCGATGTATCGTGTTCCGACCCGGCAGAATGGTTCTGGCCTAGAGGGGTATCCCGGAACACCAGCGGCATCGCCCGGGCGGCCTGGTAGGGCCGCCGTACCGCGGTGACCGACGTCGTTGGTCGTCTACATTAAGTCAGTACACGACCGTGCCGCGTTCCTACTCGGTCGACTCTACCCCATGATCTGCAAGCGAAGTAAATCTTTATAACGCTTTACAAAACTTGCATACGTTCTGTCATTACCGATGCAAGCGTAGGGTTCGCTCACGCGGCTCGACACGCATTAATTTTCTCTAGATCATCCAATCCTGTTTCTGCAGAATAGCTGACGGAGCACCGGGGTATGTGAGAAGTAAATCTTCACGACGACCTAAATCTAGAATCAATACATAAGTAAGTATCTTAGAGAAGCGCCAGAACGCTACGTTTAAAAATCAACGCGGCACGATAACCCTATTATCGTGGCCACCGCTGATTACATATCTAACCCAGGCGACGTGTCAAAATAAAGCACTCTCGGTGCTTTTTGGCTTTTCAAGCACCGATCACAATCTTCGTCAAACTCGTCGACTCGTCGACGACGAAGAGTTCGACGAGCGAACTAGCTCATAGACACAGCCCAGTGAGTTTCACTAACTAATCAAACAATATTATATTATGTATAAATTAATATTAATGTGAGATATCGACCTCATATTTGTATTGTCCATGGTCTTCAGTGATAAATATCAGGTGCACCATGGGCTCGACTTAATCTCTATAGTATTACAAACAAAAGTCATCAAAATTACTCCAATACTGAACACTGTTCGAAATATTTATACCATGAAATTTAATTCAATAAAGAACGACTACGAAAGCTAAATTTCATTTGAGTAGTATAAGAAGGAATGCAATATGTGTAACTCTCTGGCCGCAATCGAAATGCACGTTTTTGTTATTCCCAAGTACTTTTCTGTAAACTGTTTAATTAATAAGTGAATTTTTCGATAGGCTAGTGACGTCAATAATCTTGGTTTTTTGTAATGCATTTACTTTGTAAACAGGTATTTATTAACATGTTATTTTTGAAAATTATTTTTATTGTCCTTGTAGGCAGCGATCATACGACCTACCTGATTGTGAATAGTTACCGTCGCCCATGGACTTCAGCAATACCAGGGGGAGTACCAATTCGCTGCCTAAACAATGTAACAATGCTCTGGCCAACTTTTCTAACAACTACTGTATGAGTTTTCTTGTAGACAACTTCTTGAATTATTTTAAAATCCAATAAACAAACTAAGATCTTTGTGTGTCGCAATCAACCAATATGAATAATAAGATAACATTAATTATTTCAGTGTGTCTCAAATTGCCTTGTGAACACGTCTGTGGTTAGAAACTACCTATAGGTATAGAACTAGGCATACCTGCAAGGGCGGTCACGGGTCATGATCGGTCACAGAACGGCGCGACAGCCGAGGATCAATAATGTGTTCGCGCTGCCTCGCAGCTTCATTACCTAACGTGGAATGCAATTTTCAACTCACAAATTGTCTACCCAATTTATCTTAGTCGTTTTTAACTATTATTGAGTTGTTTAACAACTACAAACCTCTCTTATATTATTACGATAGGCACAAAAAAAAAACTGATCAAGTTTCGAATATAACAGTAGTAGTTTAATAGTAGAATATAATAGTAATATGTATAAGTACATTAATTTGCCATATGAGATAGATACTAACAAATTTTGGCAATTTTACATTGAGATTGTAAAATATCGCAATTTGAAAAGTTTGTTCAAGCATATTTTTTAACTTAAACATTTATGGAACCTTATATTTAATTATATTTTTATATTGATTTAACATACCTAGGCGGCACTGAAAATTTCGGGAATTAACGAAGTGACACAACATACTATTTAAAAAATGTATTTATTGCTTTTCGAAGTATTCTCCGCGAAATTTGACACATTTTTCCATACGATGGAACCAATCATTGAAGCAACCATTCCATTCGGAAGTTGGGGTCTCCAAAATGGCCGTTTTGTAGGCGTCCACAGCTTCTTCAGGTGATGAAAATCTCTGTCCACGCAATTTATTCTTTATTTTAGGGAAAGTATAGAAATCATTAGGGCTTAGGTAGGGGCTGTACGGCGGATGGTCTAATAATTCTATGTTTTCTTGCTCTAAAAACTCTTTTGTCCTGTGCGCGGTGTGAGAACTCGCATTGTCGTGATGGAGGATGATGCGGCGGTTGCAGTTCTCTTTACGGAGTTCAGAAACGACCTGTGGCAAACAAATGCTAGCATACCATTCTGCATTAACCGTTCTTTGTCCCTCAAGAGGAATAGTCGTAACATGGCCGNAGAGAAAAATGCTTATTGAGGGCGCACAAGTCAGTATCCTTGACAGAAGAGACCGGAGTTTTGCCAATGCCGACAGATTTAAGGAATCTCCAAGTATGAGCAGGGCTGCGATTTTCAAGTGATTTGTGAAAGTAAAGTCTTTTAGCATCTCTGCACAAACGGTTGCACCGGTTGCGCAGTGCTTTGTATATGGCCAGGCTGTGTTCAGTGGGGCAACGTTTGTATCTTCTTTTGGCTTTGTCCCTGCGAGCCATCAGAGTTTTAATATCCGGCGTTAACCACGGTGCAGGTTTATGTTTAATTCGAACTCGACGGACGGGGGCATGCTGATCAAACAAACTGATTACCTTATAATTAAAAGAATTGACCATGTCGTTAATGTTATGGTGTTCAAGAATACACGACCAGTCGGTATTATTTACATCCCGTCGCAACGCTCCCAGATCAATACCCTTGTAATTGCGAAGTAGGAGAAATTGTGAATTACGTTTAGGGGGTCGAACACGATAGGAGAGATAAATCAAGTCATGATAAGAAAAGGAAGCGGAGAGTTGACCATGAGTGATAAATAAATGGTATTCGATTTTTAAAACCAAGGAGTTTTCAATTAAAAAGATTTTAATATGACAGGAACAGTGGAAATATTCCATTCCCGATACTTTTAGTGCAGCCCTCGTATGACAGCTTTTCTCACACGTCAAATACATGTATTATAGTTTTTAGTTTAAGAAAACTTCACAATAAGTAAATGGCTACAAATTTGTAAATTTAATTCACTATTAATGAAGACGTGTCCTGAAAATTATGGCTGCCGATATAGTGATATCAAGCGATGTACTGATACATAAATTCCGTATATTGTCAGTCTGTCCTCCAGCGGTGCTTCTCCTGTCTAAGAATCGTGACTTTCTTCATCAATGACTTTCAGCTTTATGATGTTATGCCATCTCATCCTATCTTCGGCTACTTGGAGAGCATTGTAGGATGTGAAATCACGTATGGTGCGGATCTGGTCAAACAATAGACAGCGGCCCTGCGATCTTTCTGCTTCCACTTTGCCAGTAACCGCCAGTTTTTCAATATTACCTCCCATATTTCTTGGCTGACTGAAGTACTCTAGGATTAAATTAATAAATT